AAGAAAGAAAGAAAGAAAGAAGAAAAGAAAACAGACTTGTTGCAAGGAGATATAGAAAGAAAGAAAATCATAATCAATAGCAACAAACAAAACAAAAAACAAAAAGACAACGAAAAGAGAAAGAAAGTTAATGATAGATAAAATGAAAACATAATGGAAAAGTAGGATTAAACGAATAAAACGGAAAGAAAAAAGAAACATAAGTGAATTAATAGAAAGAAAGAAAGAAAAAAGGAAGGAAGAAAAAAGAAAGAAAGAAAGAAAAAAAAAGAAAGAAAAAAGAAAGAAAGAAAGAAAAGAAAAGAAAAGAAGAAAGAATCCAGGTAAGGAAGGAAAGGAGAATGTACTGTGCCTCTCAACACAAACACACTATACACACACATACATACATGTGCACACACACACACTCACAGAGAGACAGACAGACAGAGAGAGAGAGAGAGAGAGAGAGAGAGCAATGAGAAGAAAAAAATGTAGTAGAAAGAGCAAAGAATTCAAGGTAGAGAGATTGAGAATGAAGAAAAGTGCAAAATCTTCATAAAGAATTTCCTTGGAACCGAAATGTTTGATATCCTCAACTTGTTCGCCTGTTGATTTTCTTTTCTCTTCAAATGCAGCACACTGGTTCTCCTTCCTGCTTTGCCCACAGGAACACGCGGGAGTGACATCGACCATTCCTTTGAGTCGATCTTGATACAAAAATGCCAAGGTTAAGACGGGGTCGAGCCCATGGGGAGTTCAAATCGCAGAACAAACACAAAATACGTCTGTATCTTGTCACACCGACGTGTCGGGTTCGGGCTAATGCATGCAAAGGTATTGTCTCCTTGAAGATAGGCGATAGCCCTATGAGATTTCCGGCATTGTGTAGACGAAAATACTTCCTTCTGTGCTTCGAAGAGAGGCATCCTGTCCGTACTGTCTATTCGTCTGATAGATTTTCTTCATTGGACGTGGTGCTGAGTCGACTGACCATGGCCTTATCGAATGTTGTAATTTTTGTACGGCTGTGGCATACAATAATCGTTCCATCGTTAACGATATATAGAGAAAAAAATATACACATTTTACTATATTTTTCCTACGGTCGTAATTCATGATAAAATCCGAAGAATATTCTGCAATATTAGTGGTCCTGACATGACATCTCGGTTTCAGTCACTTCCCCACAGATGTAGCGTAGCTTCCCCATGCCTTTTCTATAAATATTTTCATGTTAATCGTTCTGAGGAGCTAGCCCCTTTGATAACTCGACTTTAAGAATTTAAGCGCAGTACTAGATTGGCAGGTAGGTCTCATCATTTTACTGTTGAAATGTCGAGATGTAACCGTAATTTCTATGCTAACAGTTTCTTCTCCCACGCTTTATATCATTCAGTGGATTGTTAGTAGGTTAATGCTTGTATTAAGTCTGTTAGCAAAGAGAATTCGCCATTAATTGCATTAATATTGTTAATGGATTAAATGTATGATCATCTCGTTATAATATATATATATATATATATATATATATATATATATATATATATATATATATATATATATATATATACCCAAGTATTGGATTGGTGTATGCAGAATAAAAATCCAACAATCAAAAATACTATTCGTAAAAGAGTGCTCAATACAGTGTAGAGCAAATATAATTTATTCGAGAATTATAACATGATGTTATAATTTTAGAATAAATTCTTTCACATCCTCCATTTTGTCTCAATGCTGCTCCGAGTGACTTATGCCTATCACGCTCAATGGCATACTCCCTCCACGACCAGCGATTCAACACCTTCGATGAAGTGAAGGAAAATTCTTTACAGTTTTTTTTTAATTCAAAGCCAGCGAACTGGTATCTAGGACAGATTCGGATATTGGCTGATTGCTGACAGATGAACGTCGAGAATAATGGACTTTATTTTGAAGAATAAATGTTGGCTTTGCTCCATAAAATTTTATTATATTCTTTCCGCTTCCTACGTGAGTCAGTACTTATCATCCAACCTAATATATATATATATATATATATATATATATATATATATATATATATATATATATTCCGGTGTAACAGTATAATTATTCATCCCACAGAATGTTTAATATCTAAAGAAAATACTAAACATACTGAGTTTCTTTTTTCCAGGTTTTAAGATAAAACGGTTAGCCATCTTGATACCATTTGTCGCAAGAATCACCGAGAAACCATTTTGAGTTATTCATCTTAAAAGAGAACAGCTTAAAACGGTTTTGAATCAGTCCCACTGTTTTCTCAACTGAACAATGGTGAGAGGAAAAAGATCATTCATACTTTCGCTTCCATCTTTAAAGTCTATTCAAGAATCATCAAGAGAATGGTGAATAAGGTTAAAACGAGGAAGCAATAGAAAAAAAGTGAATCAGGAGGTCACTACTGGAAAAGGGTTATCATTCACACTTAGAGTTAAATAGATGAGTTAGAAAAGCTCCACCTCAATCCCTAAGACGTTTGGTTTTCTCGTAACAGATTTATTGTTTAGTATAGAGCTTAGAAAAAATACGCAGTGTGAGATAGGCAAGAAGTAAGGCATGTAGCAACATCAGCACGGAAAAGGGCACTCCTTTAAAGGCAAGGAAGGACAAAAATATTTTAAGACAAGTGATAGTGATTGCTGTATGAGTCGTATGATTTTTTAATCAAGCACGGGCAACGCCGGGCCATGCTGCTAATATATATATATATATATATATATATATATATATATATATATATATAATTTGGGGATTTAGGCAGAATAATCCTCAACAGAATGAAGAAAGCAGTAGATGGCCGTTTCGTCATATTAGGCACACATCAGCAGTGCGTATCCACTACCGAGTTCAAACACGGTCTGCTTCGATACAATGCAAGCGTTATACCAAATGTGCCAACAGGCCTCGGCGACTAAAAAGAAAGTGAATCGACTTGATATTGCGCCGCGACTCGCAAATTTCGTGGTGATACTCATCCAAGTGTTCATAACCCAATAGATTGTTCCCAAGAGCCATGTCTCTCGTTTCCCCTCGAACATGCTCCATCGTAGAGCATGAGGAATTTCTGAGTAGTGGCGCTATATCGAGTCTATTCAGATTATTCTTCGCCACCGAAGCCTGTTGGTACAGTTGGTATGACGCTTGCATTCTATCGAAACAGTTTGGATTCGAATCTCGGTAGTGGATGAGTTCCAAGATAGGACGAAGCGGCTGTCCAGTGCTTTCTGCATTCTGTTGAGGTTTCTTCTAGACTCGATGAATTACTGTAATTATTATAGTGTGACCCGGATATAAGAGAGTTGTCGGGATCGGAGAAGAAGTCTCTTATATCCGAGTTTCTCTTATATTCGGGTTTGGTCTATTTTGTTTAGGTAAGTATGGCTCTAATTTGGGATCAGAGAAAATCTCTCTTATATCCGGGTGTCTCTTATATCAGGGTTTCTGATATCCGGGTTACACTGTTGTTGTGTCGGAAACCTACCACCCCTCTTGAAGATGAACTTGTCTGCAAATAAAGACTTTAAATAGTGGCATGTCAGTTGACATGGGAAGAAGATTGATAGACAGAGAAGTTCTTAGCTGAGCTAGTTATTGACTACTCGGGCGATTTCTGTACCTTTTTACCAACCTATTAAAACCCTTTTTATTGTTACGTGTTATTTGGCGTTTGTCTCTACTAACCCCAAAACAACATCATAACAACTGTATATATATATATATATATATATATATGTGTGTGTGTGTGTGTGTGTGCGTGTGTGCGCGTTATTTCATAATTTATTGAGGTGAAACGTACCTTGTCAGAATTAAATATAAAATTCCTTTCAATTCTTGTTGAAGGTGCAAGTGAAATGCTAATGGCAATATTATAAGGAAAGATTCGGTATTGATCGAGCGGCCAGTGCTATCCAAGATACGCTTTTCTTCATTCTTTGTCCATCAGGCTGGGATCTGTTATCTTCATATATAATGGCAACCTTAGTTGGGTTTTTTTTTTTTTTCATAAGGAAAGGTTTTCATTGGTTAATCAGCTTTCACGTACAAGACGAATGCGCGTGAAACAAACAGCACAATAACAAAAATACCAGAATTTCCTTTTTTTTTTCTCCATATTTCAATCTCTGACCAGTGGGAAATAAGAAATAATTCAATATCGAGAAAGAATTTAGGAATATTCTTGTAATTTACAAAACAAATAACGTATTTAAATACGTTTGTGCGTGACCCTGTGGTCAGAACTTTAACATTCTGATAATAACAGCCAGTTTTTGATATCACCAAAGTCGATCTGTTTTGGAGGTGGCATTTTGCTCCCTAACCAATATTTTTACATCATTTTATTTTCATTCTCTTTATTTAATGTTATTATTTATTCTTAATAACTGTATTCCCGGACATCCTCCAGTTCTTAGTTCCCTCTTCTTATAATTCTTTTAGGAACCTTACTGATCAGAATCGCTTTTGCACAGAACCACAAGTATGCAACACTCGAATTCGTATTCTTGATAAATTCGTGAATATTTATTCAAAAGCGAAACTTCCTGGAGATGGGCATTCAATTTTGGAAGGTTTCCGAAGTTAACTAAAAAAGTGAAGGTAACCGAACTATTCGCGGAGAAAAGGGTCATTTGCTTCTTTCTAAAATTGACTTTGTTCTCCAATTAGTGAAAACAAACAAACCCACCCACTTCGTAGCTTTTGATGTGAATTGACATTTCACATCAAAAAGGATTCAATTAGTATTTAAGAAGATTTTTCATTTACAACCAACCCAATTAATCTTTGAAGAGACAATACTGCCTCCTATCAGTCTCTTTCAGACTCACTACGCACGCACCATTATTTCTCTGCATGCATACACTCCCGTTGCTCTTCCACCCCCTCTCTCTTTCTGTCTTTTTCTCTCTCTCTCTCACGCCCACAGATAGATAGATAGATAGATAGAGAGAGAGAGAGAGAGAGAGAGAGAGAGAGAGAGAGATGATGTATTTCATTATTCAAGAAAAATAGTATTTTACTAGAAACTATGACCTTGTTAACTTCTCATATTCTATCAGGAATATATCGTTCGATTTTAAACTTTTCATATTTATCCTTATTAAAACCATTAATAATAACGTTTGTGGGCTGTTATTAAGCGAAATTTGTACATTATATTTTTTTTTAAACGATAAATATATCCAAAAAGTCAGGGACTATAACATTTGTTTTAATAATTTCATCGCAAGCAAGGCGATCAATAATGCCGCTAACACGCAAAGAGTTACTGGGAGTTAGAATGAGAAAACATTTTAGGAGAAAGAACAATAGAAAAAACAGATTTCAGGAAGAACGAAGATGGCGTTGCATTTAAATTTTTAAAGATTACAGATGGCAGGGAAAACAAGAAAAAGTAAGAGGTTTTTAAATTCTCGAAGTGCGAGAAAAGGATCTACTGCAATGAAATTCAAGGTTACAACTAGAAACTTCAACATTAAAACAATGAGCCTTAGTCGTCAATCGAGTATTGCGCTTAAAGATGCGTAGTTGATGTACCAAAGACGAAAGATAATATGAACAATTATCATTAAAATATTTGTAGAAAAAGAACTGGTGATGCTAATTTGTGCCAGTAGGAAAGTGATTGAAGCCGAAATGCCCTGACGAGACCGATAATATTGTAGATTTTTCTTCAGCCGTAAAACGGTGTAATCTAGTTCCGTGAAAATATTTACGGAAATGTCAAAGGGTAGCCATGAAACGGCATTGTGAATGTGACTGAAGTCGAGATGCCAGATCAGGATAGATTCTAAAGGGTGTTCCAATAACTTGCACCGATTTTAAATGTGAATTAAGTTTAAGCGTGTAATTTTTTTTTCGTTTTCTTTCAGATTTAACAACTTAAGTCTTTGGCAATTCCAACCACGGAAAGATTAACAATATATATATATATATATATATATATATATATATATATATATATGCAAGCAAATATATGGATATAGATGCAAGCAAATATATGGATATAGATCTGACAGTATGAAGAAAAATATACGGAAAAAACCTTATATACAATTATACTGTTTTAATGTTAATATGTCAACGTCGGACGTTTCGGTCTAATAAACCATCTTCAGGACATATTGTCATGTTGAATTGATAATGTTAATTATATTTTTATGAATATGTCCTGAAGATGTTTTATTAGACCGAAACGTCCGACGTTGACATATTAACATTAAAAAGTTATAATTGTATATAAGGATTTTGTTTGTTTTTCCTATATTTTTTCATATATATATATATATATATATATATATATATATATATATATATATATATATATATATATATATGAGCATTTTGTATTCATTTATATATATCTTTTTGTTCTAGCCTCTGTTACTATAGGAATCGCTATTCTCTTCTCTACACGGATTGCTATTCGCTGGTTACTATTCGAGAGAGTATTATCGAGCAAGTACTAATAGTGCGAGTGATATTCAAAGGCGTCCGACACCAGTATTGTTCGACGGCGTTACTAAAGTTTTATCGGCTATTACAACGTCTCTACTACAACAAGCATTACGAAAGTGACATCGATTATTCGGTGACATTACAAAAGTGGCAACGAGTGTTCGTTCACATCAAAAAACCTACACATTTTTGTTGTTGTTGTTGCTTGAAGTGTTTAACTGATACGGTTTTTGTTATTCGGTAAAGCTCCTTGTTATTATGTAGCGCCATTTTATAGGGTCTAATAAAGATTTATATGATTTATTCGTTTACGATAATGATAATACACTTGCCCACAGCGCTGACTAAGAAGCTAGTTACAATCAAATGAGAATCCCATCGGATAATAAGCCTAATGAGCCACACAAGAAAAGTTTGGGTTCCAAGAACTGAATAGAAAGCGTAGGAGAAACAGACGAGAAATAGGACAATAATAGCACGATTCCGTTAAAAACACAGATGATTCCATTTCTAGTAATTAGACCACGTGACTATAAAGGAAACGTATATATGGGAATTAGCGTGGCGGCTAAATGATCACTATTTCTACACTATCCTCTATTATTATATGGATCACTCTTTCTAAACTATCCTCTATTCTCTATACTATTCCCTATAGTATTTCTCTATACTGATCACTATAGGGACCACTATACGGTGGCTACTATTTTGATCGAGTATTATCGAGGAAGTACTATTAGTGCAAGTGATATTCGAAGGCGTTTGATTCCAGCATTGTTCAACGGCGTTACAATAGTTGTATCTGCGATTACAAAGTCTCTACTACAACGAGCATTATGAAAGTGACAACGAGAATTCGTTGACATCATAAAAGTGTTAACAAGTGTTCGTTGAGTGACAATGTATATATATATATATATGTGTGTGTGTGTGTATGAGCCACAATTTTGTATTCATTTACAAGATAAATATCTTTTCTGTTCTAGCCTCTATTACTATAGGAATCGCTACTCTCTTCTCTACACGGATTACTATTCGATGGTTACTATTCGAGCATTATCGAGCAAGTACTATTAGGGCGAGTGATATTCGAAGGCGTCTGACACCAGCATTGTTCAACGGCGTTACTATAGTTGTATCTGCGATTAGAAAGTCTCTATCACAATGAGCATTATGAAAGTGACAACGAGAATTCGTTGACATCATAAAAGTGTTAACAAGTGTTCGTTGAGTGGCAATATATATATATGTTGCACCGGCCTCTAACACAAGGGAATTACACCGGTTCTCACTATATATAGTGCCAGTAATACCTACCCGGTGTTCGCCGCGACAGTACTACAACTGCCTAGCTGAGTAGTACCCGTTTCCTACCTTTGTATCTGTGATGTTAAATACACTTGTTCTTTAAACCTACTTCGACGTGATTTTCTTATTTTTACTATTGTGCCACGACACAACAATATATATGAGCCACAATTTTGTATTCATTTACAAGATAAATATCTTTTCTGTTCTAGCCTCTATTACTATAGGAATCGCTATTACTATTCGATGGTTACTATTCGAGTATCATCGAGCAAGTACTATTAGGGCGAGTGATATTCGAAGGCGTCTGACACCAGTATTGTTCAATGGCGTTATTAAAGTTGTATTTGCGATTATAAAGTCTCTACTATAACGCGTATTAGGAAAGTGACAAAGAGTATTCGTTGATATTACAAAAGTAGCAACGAGTGTTCGTTCCATCAAAAAAAAACAACAACATATGATTCTATGGTATTTTTTTTATAGATAAATGTTTCTTTTTTATCAAAATAAAAGCATTTTCACTGTAGTTACTGAAAATGATTGTAAATAATTTCATTCAACCCTATTTATATTTCATATCATAATAGGAAAGAATGATCATCTGAAAGTTTTTGTAAATCCAGATTAGAGACATGTAACTTTTGTTTACTCCGGAAATTCTTCCGATTCATCGACGAAAAGAATGGGTGTTCGGTAAATCATCGGAAATACGAAGTCAACGAAGCATGAATCATGTGGTGCCTTTGTTTGTTAGCATTATACAATGAATAAGACTCTTTCGAACGGGAAAGGAAATATAAAATAATCGCTAACAGTTGGGATTAAGAACTTATTTCTTTTCTTTTTTTTTTAACGAAATCACATGTATGAATAATTAAAAAGGTTCCTGCGTGACCTTCGGAGCAAACAACTGGCTTTTGGAAATTAATTCTATTTTTTTTTTTTCTTTTTTTCCATTTTTAAGCAAGAATACGGAAGCTGTTCGAGGTCAGGATCCAGAAATGAAGAAATTCTCTCGACAACGCTCGTTTCGTCATCAAGTACAAAAATTCGTTTTTTAAGATTCTATTTACAAGATGCGCGTACTGGTGTCATGGATAGCTGTACGGAAGGAGAAATCGGAGAGCCGGGTTCGAATTCCACTTGGATTCGTTATCTTCAATTACGCGCGGATAATCTTGGCAAAGGTATAAATCCATCTCTTCTTCCCCTAGCTATGTTGAATAGCAGAACAGACATTCTACAGCCTTGATTAGCAACCAGTCTATCGCAGAAAGAAACGGCAGCCTACTGTGGGAATATCTTCTGCCTTGCCAGTCATTAATCGAAAGAGACACGGTCGTCCAAGTATGGCACTTAAATGATTGACTTTTTAAGAAAAAAAGCAATGCCTTTTTAATCGGTATTACTCCAAGTAAGGCAGTAAAGCCACTAAGACGCAAGGGGTTATAGGGTGTGGAAGAATTAGGAACAAAAATCTTTAATAAACAGAGAGATAACATAGAAATCAGGAAGACAGTAAATAGCGATTGACATTGCATTTACATTTTTGGAGATTAAAGTAGGCTGAAAAGCATAGAACCGGAAGAGAGTTCCACAGGTGAGACGTGCAAGAAAAGAAACTTTTAGCATAGAACTTGCGGTTTCATCTAGTAAAGTGATGGGATCTCGACGCCACTCTTGTACTGTGGTTCAATTCATAGAGTCTAGGTACCATAGCAAAGAGATCACCCGAATTTTTATTTATTTCTATGTTATTATAAATCTGCAGAGAACAAGATACCTCATCGATGATAAGGCGCCGGTTCGCCATTACCATCTTCCGAGCTTGCTGAACCTTCTCGTCAGTAGTGGAGGTTGATGGGCGCCATGCTCCTTCTTCGTGCGTCATGCTTATTCGGCCATTTTTAAAAAATCCCGATCCGCTCATACACATTTCTGCACGTTTACAAGCCCTCGTTGAATTTCCGCCCCTGGTACACCATTCGACCAGATATCTCTGCTCTTTCTTTCTCCTTGGTGCACACTTCTAACGGAGCGGCCATGTTTACATTGTAACAGCAGTAAGGAAAACTGGCGCGATCAAGCTCAAACTTAGATTACGTGACCACAGGAGTAACAACTATAAATGCGCATGACTAAAATGCCGTGTGGCAAACCGAAAGATGTGTTATGGTGAAGGTGCAGATAATTTTTGACTTACCCTTGTAATAGCGTCTTTGCAACA